AAACCTTACCGTGGATGTTACCCTCAGTCGTACGGGGCTGAAGAGTCTCATACCAGACGAGATTAGGAATTGTTTTAATTATGCTCATACCAAATGTAGTATTGAGGCGGTTGTATATTTTGACGCCCTTTACCGGATGAGGTATGGGGACAACCATTTGATTATAGAGAAAATGTTCGTGTCCACGTGTAGTGGGGATCCCTATGGACCCCCCAATGACACCGGTAGGAAATATAAAATGATAGAAATGAATATAGTAAGGAACCTAATTTTGGGTAATAATGTAGGGTTAATTTGTTATATGTCTTTTAGAATATGTATTGTAGATTATTATTCTGATTCTTATCTTAATAAATAATATTTAAGAATTTACGGATAAGTTGAGAAAATATTAACGTTTTCAGTGAAACGAATCATGAATGCACTAACATTTGAGTTTTTTAAGAATACGCTCCATTGGTTGTTTTATATTTTTTATAATCTTTTGATTTTTCATATCAGCGATAAGGTGTTGATATTCTTATTGAGCTAGTGTAGCTCACCTTTTTATTATTAACCATTTCAAATTAGGACGACTGAGACTCGGATGTTGAACAACAAGAAACTAGTTAAAGATTGCTTTTTCTGCTTTATCAGTTTTGAGTAGAGGTTAATCATATTTGTTTTTTCTATTTAAGTTTCAAGAGCATTCCCGTAGTCCTATTGGATATTTTAAATAAATTGTGTAAGGAATTTAACCCTAAACTTCATTTGCTTTCGCTAAATTATAAATTTTAGTGTTGTTTATTTGATTACTACTGAGTTATACGCTCGGATTCCCTAGTAGGGATTTGGGCTTTTACAATAAGGAAAATAGAGGAGGCTAGCTAGGCTTAAGAAATCCATCTAATAAGGAAAAAAAAGAGGACAAAAGGCAGAATTATTGAACACAAGAACTAAAAACGAGGCTAAAACATGAAAAGTAAAAGCTCCACAAAATGTGGAAAAAACTAGAAACAGAAAAGGAAAGAGGCTCGATGTGTAGGAAAATAAAGTTGAAATGGTGAAAGAAGAAACAAGTATCAGGCTCGAGGAAAAAAGAGAGGAGGGAAAGGTGAAGAATGCAATATTAATGACCTGATTGTAAGAACATGCTGTAGAAAGGCTAAGGAAGCTGATATTTGATGATAAGTGAAGAATAAGTGAAAAACAAACATACACAAAAGAGAGTTAGTGATTTTAAGAGAAAATCCTAATAGGATTTCAGAATTCAATTCTTAATGGTTTTTATAAATGAAGAAGAGATTTATATACTTTTAAAAAATGAGGCATTTGTACACCTATTATACATTATGACATTTTTCTTTTTAACCCTAACATATATATATACACATATACACATGTTTTATATGCATAACCTTAACAGAGTTCTTCCACTCATTTTAAGATGGATAATAGATGTTTCTGCTTCTATCTTGACTATATGATGATTGAGAGAAGTACTTGAGAATGGTTTGGTGAAAGTGTCTGTTTTTTGTTCTCTACTATTCACATGCCTAGTTGCAACACTCATATTTTAGATTTCTCCATGGACTAAATAGCAGTCGAGTCCTATATGCTTTATTTTTTCATGAGACACTAGGTTGACAGCTATGTTTACCATAGCTTTATCATTACAATGCAACATAGTTGTTTCAATGCGATCAGCTCCTAAAATTCTTAAGAGCTATTTTATCCAAGTTACTTCACAACAAACACTGGTCATGGCTCTATATTTGACATTTGCAGATGACTTAGAGATTGTGTATTGTTTCTTATATTTCTAGGAAATCAAAGAAGAACCAAGAAAAATGCATTGTCCTGCAACTGAGCTCTTAGTATCTTGGCATCTTCCCTAGTCACCTATCACTATAAGCACTGAGATTTAATTCAGATGAGTGTGGATATAACATATCTCCTGCCTAGAAGCATGATTGATATATCCCAAGATCTTATAGGCTACATTGAGATGTCAATAAGTAGGATTTTATATAATTGGCTCAAAAGTTATACTGAGTAAGCTAAGCCTATCCTCGTGATGGTAAAAATACATGAGTCTTCTGCACATGGTTGGGCTAGGAATGAGGTCCCTAGGGTCATTTATTAACTTGAGATTTTGGTCAAATGAGAATCTTGAAGTTTTGGTGTCTTTGTACCTTTAACAAGTTCGAAACATATTAACACTGACAAATGTGAATCCCTCTTTTGGATTGGATAACTCCAATTTTAGGAAAATATTTCAGGTCCTCAAGATTCTTTATTTTGAATTCATTACTACCTTTAAATCATCAATAAGGTTAATGTTATTCTTGACAATAATTATATCGTCAAAGTATTTTAACATTATAGTGAAGTCTTTTCCCATCTCTTCGCATAAACATATTGTACTTGATCTTTGGTTGTGTGAAACCTTATTTAACGATAAAATCTGAAAGCTTCATGTAATTTTTTTGTGTTGTTTGCTTTAGTCCATATATGTTCTAAAGTAGTTTGTACACTTGTCTCCCTTTATTTGGATATTTGAATGACAATTGCAAATAAATTTTTCCACTCAAACCTCAACATAAAAATGCATTATTGACATTAAATTAATGTAGATGCCAATCTTTAACACCCACTAAAGAGAGAAACAATCTACCAAATATAAATTTTACTACTAGGGAGAATATTTTATGATAGTCCAAACGTTCCCTTTAAGTAAATCATTTGGTCACAAGCCTAGTTTTGTAACTTTTAATCGTGCCATCTATATTGAATTTAACTTTGTATATCCACTTGCATCTAGTAGGCTCTTTCTCAGGTGAAAGATCAATAATCTTCTATGTATTATTCTTTTGGAATGCTTCATTTCATTTTTAATGCCTTCACCTTATTAGAATCTTTACAAGAATCTTTGCGAGCTTCCTCATATGGGTTGGACTCATTTTGTTAATTCACAACTAAAACATATTTTCTTTACTTGTTAGTGATTCTAGCATATGAGACAATAGAGGATATGATAATTGACTTACTTATGAATGAGTCCCTTTCATTAGGCTTTTGTTTGTTGATATTAAGAGTGTTGATATGCTCACACACAAAGTCCTTCAAATAGGAAGGTGCCTTTCTGACTCTAACTGATCTTTTTGTTGGCAACATTTATTCATATTATAAATGTATTATATAATATGACTAGCTTCACCTTTTGATTTTAGCAAGTAAACTTATGTACATCTACTAAAATATCCATAATTAAAAAAAAAATAACGATATGCATTATAGAAAATTTAATTAAAAGGTCCCCATATATCACACTGCATCAAATTAAAACACTATTTTAATATATGTTCACTGACAAAGAATGAAAGTTTATGGGAAAATGTGGTAATTTTTACATTTCCTACCCTTCAAGGCATGTGAGAGAAGATTTAACCTAGACTGAAAGGTGCCTAATTCGGGTAATGCCAAAGATCAAATGTTTCACCTTGATTGGGGGTTGAGACTATTGTTATAAAGAATCCCTATCAAGACTGTGTCAAAAAGCTTTTATACTATTCCTAATAGCGCAATCCATCATTCGTTTCAGTCGACATAAATGTCTTCTAAGTTATAAGATCATGTACCACATAAAACTATGTTGAAGAGACAAGGCAACACCTAATGTCCTCGCCAAATCTTCTAACGTACAAAAAATTGTGAAGGATCAATTTATCAGTATATTGGCTATTCCAACATAAAAAATACTTATTTTATCATTGTTTGGCAAAATAATTTTAAAAAAGTGTTTATTGAGAAATTCTATAGTACTGCTGTTTTGGATTTACTCTAGAAATTATTTTTCAATTAAATTAACTCTTTGAAAAATTAGCAAAAAAAATATTTTTAAAATTTTTTTATTAATTAAAAAAATTGAATAATGAAAAAGTCTTGAGGCTTCAAAATTAAAAAACCTAATTATATTAAAACACTTAATTATTTATAAATATAAGTGACATAAAACTATATGAATATAATATATAATGGGTTAACTAATTATTTTTTAAAAATTTATTATGATTATTAGTATTATTATTATTATGTGAGTTAAAGAAAAGAAAAGAAAAAGAGAGACAAATAAAAAGAAAAAAAAAAGAGAGAAAAAGAAAGAGAATGAAGAGAGATGATAACCCAAAAGAAAAAATCAACCCAACCCTTTTAAGCCTTATAAACTCTTGTCTCATATTTCAAAAGCCTAAACTACAAGCTTACAGCCCAAGGCAATTTAATTAAAAACTCGGTCCAAATTTACTCAAAAATTAAAATCAAAATCCAGCCTTCCAAGCAATTTTAAAATTCTTAATGTAATAAACTCTTAACCAAATTGATTATTACATAATCTCACGAGATTGATTTTGTATAAAAACTTTAAATATGTCAAACTAATTTATTACATTATCAAAACTAGTTTGAATGCAAGTTATATACTTTTAATGATGTAAGATTTTAAGTAAATTTCATCTATGGTTGTAGGATATATTGTAATTTGATACCATGTGATTTGAGATTTTTCATACTTACCACATTTTATTTGTGGCAATTTCAATGATTGTTAGTCAGATTAACATAACATTAATTTAAATATACAAAAGGTATGAATTTTTTTTAAAAAATGTACATTTAGAAGCTCATATTAAATTTATTTTTAAGGAAATAAAATTTTGTTAGTTTACTTCCCTGAAGCTTATGGAATATAAAATTTGGTTGTCTTTTTTCTTTGACAAGTATAAAAATAAAAAATAAAAAATAATTAGAAAAATGAAAAATAAAATAGAAGGGCTGTTAAGATATAAAAATTGAAAGGTCTGAACAAGATGACGCCCAGAACCAAATTTCTTAAGGTTCATGTTTACGGATAGCGTTACGTTTAGCCCGCGCTTTCAGTAGTAATTTCCCTTTTCCCAAAAAACACAAATTATACATGTTAGGCATGCTAGAACATTGCTAAAAGCTATATCACACCCATGGAAAAACAAAGAAACTTTAACAAGAATGATTTAAGCATGTCTGTTGTAATGAACTCAATCCTCAGATTGAGAATGAAGAATTCAACAGGAACTAAAGTCCAAAACTTTTTTCAGATATCCTTCACAACCACTCACCTGTGCAGTAATGTCAAAATCAAAAGCTTGAAGTCGTTAAAAATGTTCCTAACTGTAATCGAAAAACACAATGCAACATTACAAGAAAAGATTTCAAGAGCTACTGAGCTATGGTTCAACTACAGATACCTGTTGCCAATCCCCATCTACAGCTTCTTTCCACAATGTTACATTGTTGGTTCCATCAGACACAGCCAATATATTTCCAGTCAGTGACCAAGTAACTCTCCAAACAGGCGCTTTAAAATCATTTAACACCTTCCCTTCCCATTGATCCCCTTCTTTTGCCACTGTCCATATGATAACTTTTCCATCCTGCGAAGCACTAGCAATGGTAGATTTTGGAAGACCCAAGTTCGGTGCCCAAGCCACATCCCTAACCCAATCACTATGCATTTGAAGTGCTGGAAAACAATCCATCTTCCATGTTCCATTGTATAGCTTCCATACCTTTACAGTATTATCACAACCACCTGAGCAGAGCTTCTGAACAGGGTCAAGCAAGCCAGAACCAACAAGAGCACCGGGTGCAGTTGACGGTGCCCATGAAACAGAAGTCACACCAACTGGGTGAGCTTGGTCAATTCTAGCAGTGTCCCAACCACCGTCAGCTCTTGCAGTAAATACTGATATATTTCCATCAGAAGAACCACATGCCAAACAAAGACCTAATTCATGAGGGGCCCAAGCAATTGAGTTGACTGATGATTTGTGGTCTTCAAAAACATGAGCTTGGCTCCACTCATTTTGGTTACCTTCCTTCCATATAATGACATGCCCATCATAGCAACACGAAGCCAGCAAAGACCCAAACTTAGGATGAGCCCAGCCAACCTCCCAAACAGGACCTTGGTGGCCACTCAATGTAGCCAGATGCTGAGAACTTGTGCTGCTCACCCCAATTATCTTAATTGTGTTGTCTGACGAGGCAGTTGCAAGCCTCTTGCCGTAGTAATCCATCACAACATCATGAACCGTATCCTGGTGCCCCGTTTCAATCTTTTGGGCAGGCATCTTCCCAGTCCTTTTTAATACCTATAAATTGTTCAATTGCAAATTTCTCACAGGTCCCTAATGATAAAAATTAACCTAGATTAGTTGATCACCCATGCTCAGGTTTAATTACAGAGAATTATGAAGGAAGAATTTCAAAAAGAAAAAAGTAAGCCCTAAGTTGTTGTAATGCTAAGTAAAACGATGAGAGCAGAGTTTAGAACGTTTAATTGTCTAATAATATGTATAAAAAAATAGATCTAGACCTTTAAATTCCAATTTCTACCTCCTTCTTAAGATTCACAGGCTCCTAAAAGGAACAGGCTAACAATCAGAATGACCGAAATTGAATCTTGTAGAGTTGTGATAATAGAAACCCTAAATTCAGATTTCAGATCCCGCTCATTGAGGGGACATTCTAGGAAAATTGTGCTAGATTATTAAATAAGATAAAACGTTGAAACATATATGTTAAAAGAAGGATTCACCAATCAAACACAACAACAAAAAGCGCATCACTAAACTATCCCCTCCCGAATAAACAGAAACGTACTGGCTGACCTATGCATGAATACACGTAAATATAATCGATCATATAGACATGTTTAGAAGAATACCTTTTGGACCACGATGAGGTAAGCTGTAAGGAAAGCGTTAGGCGATCGAGAGATCAGCTGCGAATGCTGGAAGAGGAGGACAAAAGAAGAAGACGATTTCTGAATTTGGTTTCGGTCACTGCCGAATGAGTTAAGACTTTAAATAAGTATAATGGGCCAAGGGGCCTAAGAAGATAACCTAATTGGGTTTGATGGTATGGGCCCCATCAATTCAACTCATGTAAGGCATAAAAGATTCATTCAAAGTAAATATATATATTTTTTACACAACTTATTTAGAAATATATCTTAATTATAAGGGAATAAAATTATTTTATAAATAATACAATTTGATTCTAAGGAGAATTAGTTTTGAGTATAACTAAAATTCAAATAGTTAAGCTTTATAAGTTTCCTGTAACTCATTAATTATAAGTTTGTTTATATGCACCCTATTGGGAATTAGTTGTGTGACATCCTAATACCAGGTGGGGAAACGGTATCCGATAACAAAACAGAATGAGTGCATAAAATAATTAAACAGCAGAAGAAAAGTCATCTTTACAAATTATTTGATATTCAAATACACTTTAGACTAAGAAGATGGCTGACGAATTATATACTATGCTTGTCTTAGCTCCTTCCTTCATTACAAAATAATTTTTCATTAGAGTACAATCATCCATATGTACTCAAATGTTCACAACAAATATGCGAACGGATCCAAGCAAGTTTCAAGGAGCAACTTGGGGAGTAATTCCTCACTATCCTCACTACCCTGGGCTCGAGAATAATTAATTTCGAAGTAAGGAATATTAATTTTTTCTTTTCTATGTTAATAATAATAATAATAATAATAATAACTAATAAAAAATAGATCGAAATAAAATAAAGCTAAATAATTAATAAAATTCCTTCTAAAGATCTTTTTGAAATATAAAATTTTAGGTAAAGTTATTTTGTGATAAAAATAGAACTATTTGAAATATATAATTTAAAGAAAACGGGCCACGTGGATGCCTAATTAGCTACACGGCAAATTGTCATATGCCGCATGACGACCGCATCGACACGGACTCCATGCAAGAAGCCCACGTTGGCAATCCGCGTTCTAGGAAGATTAGATGGCTCATGGCTACTCCTGCGCGCACGGATGGTCTAAATTTATGCCCTAAGCAAGCATGATCGAATGGTTCCCTTTGCTCCATGCGGACTCGAACGGGCGGCCCAGATCGAAGGGGAAGAGGTATTTACACCTCTTTTCGGCCGACCTTCCAAAACCCTAACCGCCAAGTCTACAAGAGAAGGAAAAGCAAAGACGTCGAAGGAATAATGGTGCCACCGTGCCGGAAGCCGAGGACAACGTTGATAAACTCAATTTTCTCCCATAATTTTCCTATTTATCCATTCTCAATCCTTTGTAACCTTTTTCGCCTTAGATTAACTCAAAAAAATCGTAGCCAAGAAGGGGGAGGTACGCGTCTTCAATCAAAAGTCGGGACTCGATTTCAGTAAGCTTTTTCTCCTTTCTTTGTCCCCTTTCCTTCCCGTATGCATTGACGGTTTAGTTTTCCTTTCACATAAAAAAATAAATAAAATGAAAACAGGAAGGAAACGGTGGAAACTGAGAGTGAGGAACACCACCGCGATTAATGGTTGCGAGAAACAACATCGCCATCATCCCAATCAGGTAAGAACATCCTAATCTCTCCCTTCGTAACGACTTAATCAAAGTCTTGACAAAAAAAATATCAATAAATATATATATGTATATATATATGAATGTATATATACATGGGTACTTGATTAAATTAAAATCTAATTCACGTTGTGAAATTCGATCTTCTAGGTAGTCGATGGAGCTAACAAACTATAATTTATCGTTTTAGTTATTTCACCCATCCATAAATTTTTGTACATTTATTCCTTTTTTTTCATTTATTTTATTCTTATTTCCATTCCCTATATTTACGTATTATTTAGTTTTATATCCCTATACAGTTTATTAATCCTGTCTCTCTATGTATTTTGCATAATTGTTAAGAATCAACGCATTGATTATATGGACTGAATCGTCGTATTTCACTTTATTTATTGCATTTATCTTGTGAATGATTGTTTTACTTCGTAGATTCCTTATGTTTAAATTTATTTGTTCCATCGTAACTTACATTAGTAGTGTTCGTCCAATTATGGAATGTGCGTTCCACTTGCACTGTAGTAAGGATAATGGGGATCGAGCTTATTATCGTCTCAACAACACCTGTCGCATATGTGGGAGTGCCCAAGGAATCAAAATCAAGTCAGACCCACAATATAGGGCATGGTTTACACGTTCACCAAGCAGGATGTTGAAGCCATCCCATATATGATTCAAGATATGTATACTATCTATAAATATTTTGCACATGTTTTAATTGACACTAGTGCTTCATATTATTTTATTTCACATGTTTTTACTCAATATTTAAATATACTACCTAATTGTTTTGATTCTGTATTATTGGTGTCTACACTTGGGAATAAAACATTACTGAGAAATATTATATACAAATCTTGTATCATAAAAATAACATATAGAAAACTTAGCATAGATCTAATAGCACTATATACAAGGAATTTTGATGTAATTCTAGGGATGAGCGGATTAGCAGTTTATCATGCTACCGTTGACTACTACCACAAGAGACTTGTATTCAACATCCCTAATGAAAAAGCTTTTACTAATTAATAAAATCTCAAATATTATTGTGGTATGTTGGTAATGTATTGAATTTAATAATATGTTATTAGTTTAATTATTCCTTTTATGCGATAGGCAAACTCAAGGAAGAAATTTGTATCCAAGATATTCCTGTTATCCAAAACTTTTTAGATGTATTCCCTGATGAACAAATAGGGTTACCCGTAGATCAAGAAGTAGAATTCGCCATTGATCTTCAACTTGACACCTAACCCATCTCGGTTATCCATACCGGATGAACTGTGTCAAAATAGAGGAATTGAGAAAATAAATCAAAGATCTGAAAGATAATGGTTTCATCCGACAAAATATATCTCTTTGGGTGCTGGAGTTACGTTCGCAAGGAAGGGCGATGAGACTTTGAGGTTGCGATAGACTGCAGAGAATTGAACAGAGTCAATATTAAGAACGGGTACCCATTTCCCAAGATTGATGACCTTTTTGATCAGTTACAGGGTACTCAGATTTTCTTCAAAATCGACCTGCGTTCAAGATACCATCAGATAAAGATCAAAATAGAAGACATCCCTAAGATGACCTTCAGAACCCAGTATGGGAATTATGAGTTTCTTGTCATGCCGTTTGGATTTGCTAACTCACCCACAATCTTCATAGATTTAATGAATAGGATCTTTAGATCCTCCTTGGATCAATTTGACATAGTTTTTATTAATGATATCCTCGTTTATTTTAAGAATAGGGAAGAACACGCTCAGAATCAGACACAAGTCTTGCAGATTCTTAGAGAAAAGAAACTATATGCAAAGTTGAGTAGATATGGATTTTAGTTTAAGCAAACTTCTTTCCTGTGACACATAATATCAAAAAAAAGAATGTCAATGAATCCCGACAAGATTGAGGTCGTGACGGGTTGGAAGCAACTGACCACAGTCAAAGAAGTTATGAGTTTTTTGAGTATAACAAATTATTACCGTCGGTTTGTGGAAAAATTCTCAATTATATCAATTTTTATGACACGAATCATGAAAAAAGATGTAAAGTTTAAGTGGAATAAGGAATGTGAAAGAAACTTTACAGAACTTAAAAAGTGACTGACTACCACATCGATGTTGGCTCTACCAAATAGGACATATGGATATACAGTATATAATGATGCATCCTACCAAGATTTGGGTTGTGTTTTGATGCAGCACGAGAGGGTCATAGCTTATGGGTCTAGACAACTGAAAATCCATAAAAAGAATTACCCCACTCACGATTTGGAGCTCGCCGTAATTATCCACGCATTGAAGACCTGACGCCATTACTTTATAGGGAGACGTTTGAAATCTATACAGACCATAAGAGTCTGAAATACATATTCACACAGAAGGACCTCAACATGCGTTAGAGGCGTCGAATAGTATTTCTCAAGAATTATGATTGTAAGAACTTGTACCACATAAGTAAGAACAACGTGGTAGTCGATGCTCTTAGCAGAAAGATATAGGTATGTTAGCTTATATGCTGGTCTCCGAGTGTAGAATGATTAAGGCCACACAATGAATGCAACTCTAAGACTTAGAACGAGCCATATGTCTAACTCATTTAGCAGTCCAACCCGAGTTAATCCAGAGGGTAAGAGAGGCTCAGCTGGCTGATTCTACTTTACTAGCCTTCAAAAAGGATACATAATAAGGTTTGAATCTAGAGTTTCAGATTTCTGCTGATAGGTTGCTCAGGTTTCAAGATAGGCGGTGTATTCCTAACGATAAAATTTAAAAAGGGACATCATGACAGAAACTTGTAGTTTGAAGTTCACCATGCACCCGGGAAGTACCAAGATATACCAAAGCATGCAATTTCGATTTTGGTGGAATGAGATGAAAAGAAATATTGTTGATTTTGTCTCCAAGTGTCTCACATGCCAACAGATTTAGATAGAGCCTTAACACCCAGGTGGTTTACTCCAACCTTTACCGATTTTGGAATGAAAATGGAAACATATCACTATGGATTTTATAACAGGATTATCGAAGGCCCGTTTAGGCCACGATACAATTTGAGTAATCATCGATCGACTCATTAAGTCCTCCAATTTCCTAGCCATTAAAGTAACAGACCCTTTAGACAAGCTAAGTAGAATTTATATCACAGAGATAATCATGTTGCATGGAGTTCCAATAACAGAGGTATCAGATAGGGACCCCAGATTTACCTCTAAGTTTTGGACCATTTTTCACTAGGTAATAGGGACAAAATTATCTTTTAGTACAACATTTTATTTTCAGACAGATGGACAATCAGAAAGAACTATTCGCACACTAAAGAATATACTCGAGGCTTGCGTCCTAGATTTCAGAGGACACTGGAATGATCACTTACTCCTTGTGGAGTTCACCTACAATAACAATTATCAGGCGAGTATTGGTATGGCTCCGTATGAGACATTATATAGTCGACCCTGTAAGTCAC